ATCCAAATAGTGAGTCTCCAGGAAGTCACACAGCTGGAACAGAGGAACATTACAACTGGCTGCATTTACACTATCCAAGACAATTTCAGAATTCCCACTGCAAAACAGACTTAGCCATAACTAGCTCTAGACAGCTCTGAAAAAAGAAACTGAGCGAACACGTGGAGAATTTGTGCCAGTGAGGACAATAGCATTTCAGCTGCTTCATCTTGCAGTTTGTGAAATGGAGCTGAGTTGGATTGTGATGGAGTGATTATTCCACTGCAATGATCCTGAATGAGAATTCAGTGGCCAATATCTATTGATCACTCCCACTAGATAATAATTTAAACTCCCATTTTACCTCATTGCTGAGCTGTTGTAACATGGTGATCACTTCAGGTCCATAATGATGATCACAATGTCATATCAGGACAAAAAAAGTGTCCCATCAGTGAATTTCCAATCCACAAAGACCAACCAATGAAGTGTTGCCCTGAAGGTGTAGCAGTGATGAGAATGAGGAGGTGGTGAAGCTTACATGGGGGTCAGTCTGGGCAGTGGCGAGTTGGTGTAGATCCAGCAAACTCTGGTTCACATTCTTCTCCAGATCCAGGGCAACCTGCATTGCCTGCAGACTGTTACCCCACTCATCCCTCTCTGGCTTCTGAGAATGGAAAGAAAGGACAGTCAAGCTTCAGAAAGAATCCCTGCAGCATGGGAGCAGCCATTTGGCCCATTGTCTCCATAACTATTTTGAAGAGCATTCTACTTAGTCTCACTCCTGCTCTATTCCTGTGACCCTGCATTTCAAGTGGCCAATCCTCCTAACGTGCACAGCTTTGGAAACCCATGCAGGCACTGAACATGTAAACTCCAGTCAGTCACCAGAAGCCAAAACCAAACGCGTCCCTGGCACAGAGGCAGCAGTGCTAAACACAGTCACTGTGCCATCCCTGAAGTCCAGATGAAGAGCAGATCAGTTATTTGATAATTCCTTTCACCTGGTCCATTTAAACTTGATCTGAAGCAGGAAGTTCAAGAACAGGTCATTGCGGAGACTAACAATTTAATTTGCACCAACTCAGATGTTTGCACCAGTGTCCATCTGATGGAAGTTACAGCAGGATATTCATGACTGAACCCTCAGGGCTGTTGTGGTGCAGTGGTAGTGTCACTACCTCTGGCTGTGAAGGCTGAGGTTCAAGTGCCACTTGTGCTAGTGGCTTCATACATGCCTGAGCAGGATCAGACATGATTACAATTTAATTCATTGAGGGGACAGGAAAGTGTTTACAATAAGGAACAAAATTAACAAATGCACAAGCCCATCGATCCCTCAAAGTGCAGCAAAGGTAGACAGGGTGTTAAAGGTGACAAACAGGTTGCTTGCCCTCTATTTGGTGGCCACCCCCCACAGTAAAAGGACAAATCCTGTTATAATTTTATGAAATTGTTGTACTGGTCACTGCACTGTATTCCATCTGTGGCCTAGCCAATCAGAAAGACAGGATGGTACTGCAGGGGTGCAGGTGAGGGTCACCAGGTTGTTGCCCAAGATGGAAAATCCATTATGAGAGAGATTGGAAAGACTGGGATTTTCCCTGGAACGGAATAGGCTGAGGCAGTTATCTGATGGAATTGATGAAAACTAGGGAGTCTGCACAGTAGATAGGGAGAATGTCTTCCCCATGGCAGACACCAAGACCAGAGGGCACAGGTTTGAGGAATAAGCAGGTTAGAGGGGATTGGAGGAAACCATTTCCCAAAGCAGGGTCATAGAAATATGGGTTGAACCACCTGAAGGGGATGGTAGTGGAGGCAGCTACTCCAGCAACATTTAAGCTGGATCTGGACAAGCACTCAATGCCAGGGCATAGTAGGCTGTGGACCAAGTGCAGGCAAAATGGGATTAATATATAGTCTGGTGTTCATTGGTCAGCATAAACATGGTGGGCCAAAGTGCTTATTTCTATACTGGCTTCAAAAGAAGGATATCAAGAAGAGAAGCCAAGCAGAAGAACCTTCATTCTCCCTCAGGAGAGAGAAATCTTTCATTGTTGTTTGGTTTCAGAGATCAGCCATTTCCTCACCACTCCACCCACCCAACTCCAACCTTCACATCCTGGAGGAGGACTCTGCCTCCACGCTGATTCTGGAATTTCAACAGCTTCTCTGCATGTTCCTGCTTCTCCTGGGACTGATCTTTGAAGAACCGGGAGAAATGGGGGAGGGCAACATCGTCCCGGTCAAAGTACGACATCTGGAAAGGAACAAGTTACATCCCATTAAAACACATCACTGGCCCCAATTCTAGTTCTCAACTATAGGACTAGTTGAGCATTCTAAATTAAACTGACAGTAAGCTGTTAAATGTCTGATACATTAAGACAGTTCAGAACACAGTGTTGTTCAATTAAACAGCAACTGGATGAATCAGAACAACCCCAGCTTGCTCCAGGTAGCATGCAAATACCCTGTTTTTTTACTTTGGTTTGAGGCTCGGGGGTGGGGGGGGGGTCTGGCAGAGCATTTGTGGGAGAAAAGCTGAATTCATGTCTCTACCTATTAACCTCCATGGATGAAATTAGTGATTGAATGGGGTTTCATGGAAATGCCAGGAGCTGGAATGCCGGATGTACTCAGGGTAGGGCAGCTGCAAGGTACTACATCTTTCACCTGGGGGAAAAGTGGAAAACAGATGTTGGACACTGCTGTAACTAGTGCCCAGGAGGGAGCACGTTTTCTGTAAACTCAGGATCATTGAGATTGGACATACTGTATATTTCAGCTATACAAGAGCTTCTATCTCTAGTATGGAGGAGAATGCAGGTTGGCACCAAGATTCTGCCAAGGAAAGCTAGCCCTGTGACAGCCTTTGGATTGTTGCAGCAGGAGTTTATTACAACCGTTTATGCAATGCACTCACATCCAGCGGCTTGCAAACAAAAAAAAAATCACATGGAGAGCAAATTAAAAACAAACTGAGGAAGGGTCAAATTGTACAGTGACCAAATGTGACCTGTAGATCAGACATCATCTGTGGATAGTGCCACTAGTTAAAACAGTAACCTGGAATAACCACTTCATTTGACTTAATCCAACAGGCAAAATCCTGCAGATTTTGCACCCATGTGACTCATTACTAAACAGTCATGTTCACAATTCATTGTGTTAAAGTTTAAGAAGAGCTATTCTTCTGCTATTTGATGCAGCAGCTAATAAGAGTTATATTCTTGGAGAGGAATCCTGCTAAAAAAGTGGCTTTAACCCTGAAATACAAACAGTCAAGAAAAGTTTATCTTGTGGTTTTAATTAGGTAGGTACAAGTTGTGGGAGGTATAGAATAGTGGAGATCTAGTTATTTAGACATATGCTTCCCAACTGGGACACTGGTCAGTGATTAAAACCCAACAACTGGCTCACCAATGAAAGCTGTTTCCACCTCCCAAATGGAGGTTATAGGGACTTCATCCTCATGTCATTAGAGACAACTTCCTGCTAACAGGCACAAGCCCAGAGTATGATGAATATTCTCCATGTGTCTGGAGAAGTGGAGCTGCAACATTTCAAGAAGCAGACACCATCCAGGACAGAGCAGCCCACTTCATTGGGACTACATTCACCACCTCCTTTCAATGTCCATTATCTACCAGGTACCCTGCACTCACCAAGGTTACTTCAACACAACTTCCAGACACATTCTACCCCTTAGAAGGTTAGACATCTACCACCACCTGGATAAAGGAGCCAGTTAGTTTCAAACCAGGATAGATGGTTTGGGAACAACCTCCATTTCTTCACTGGGTCAATAACCTCAGCACATTTGAGCAGCCCAAGAGGGGGAGGAGGAGGAGACAACAGTGTCCAACATTTCACACAGATCAGTTTGCTGTAGGCTGTGAAGGGATGGGTCACACCCACCTCATGATGGAATAGAAAGTGTCAAGTATGCCTCAGTGGAGATCTACTTAAATCAGAAACTAGTCACAGCCTCACCTCAAATAGGCTTGTTCAGATTAAGCCAAGCTGATTGCAACAGGAAATTGAGATTGTCTAATATTAAAGTCAGCATGTTTATTTAGGATCACCATAAAACTAAGCAAATATAACCAGGATACATGAAAGTAGCAGAAAGAAAAAGGGTGACAAGCTAGTGGGTGCTTCCATTCCAACAATGTTTGTCCCAATTCATTTGGGAAGTAGTCCCATCAAATTTTGAGTCAGAGGGAACAACAATTAATGCCAGTCACAACCCTATCAGTGAACTTTAAACAGAAGTCCAAGAACACTTCACTCTCCATATATCACTGATGGCCAACTAGGTCCTCAGTTATTGTACCTTAACATCATACCCCATTGTTATGGTAACATCACATTCATCCTGAATTGAGAGATAGGTAGGAGCCACAAAACTCAATCTACAAGATTGTCAACTTAAATTAAAAGCAAGGGAAAGAATTTAATTCAACAGAACAGATTTTAACCCCACAGATACAATACTCACCAAAGACTGATGGAGATAGGAGGCAGTGAGCTCCACATTAATCTGCCTGTTAACAGCAGCTTCACAATCCTGGTGATAGTTTTGACTAATCTGGGAGGCCATTTTGTAACAAATACTTTATATATTTTATATATATTTTATTTTATTTTATTTTATTTTATTTTTTTTTCCTAACCTCCAAAATGACAAACTTAGGAACACCACAAAACAGTACTACCTTGGGACATTATTTATACTTCAGGAGCAGACCCTCATTTTATTAAGCAGGAAATGACATCATCAGTGATGGCCAATCACTCTTGTTAATCAATTGATCAGCTGCCATGTCCAATCAGTGCAGGATGGGAATTGGATCCAGAAGCCGATCAGAATTGACAACTGGTGAGAATGAAATTGCGGATTGACCTATGACCTCTCCACAAGTGCAAATTCTGTAAGTATATCTACCTGAAAATGAGAATAAAATATTCTCTAAAACTTCACTTTTGTATCTGAGGTTATGTGTTAAGACACGCTCATCACAGATTTACAGATTTCTGTCAGTTTGTTACTCTGAGGGAATAGCCTTCGTACCTTTTGAATGTCAGTCATGGAGCCCTTTGAAAAATGGCTACATTTGGTTGACAGTAGACATTTTCCTATTGCTGTGCAGCAACAGAAATAATGTGCTTTTGGATCATCTAATACAGGCAACTAATGTACTTTGTGGATCCATTCTGTATCTGCTGTGATCTCCTTGATGTTGGGTGTCAGGAAGCCCACTTTGAAAACTATAACACTGAATGAGCTGAGTGCCGCTTCTTAAAAGTAGGCCTCAGGCCTCTATGTATCAGTTGCTGGTGGAAATATTGAACATTTCTGTCTCCATGTTCGGTTTTTAATTGTTTCAAGGACAACAAGCGCTTAACTCCAGCATGTTTCCAAGTGGGAGTTTCTGTTACTGTTTACATTGCATTCTGTAGAACGTACAGCTCAGCAACTGGGAAGTCAGATGCTGGGAATTCTGTCAGGAATTACTCAACTCCTGACTTTCCAAAACCTGTCCACCATCGATAAGACTGAAGTTGGGAATAGTGCTGGAATAGTTTACAATGTGCTGGCTCATTGCAGCCCCAACAACACTCAAACAGCTCCATGTAAATCTATTGCCATCCTGACTTGGAACAATATCAGTGTTTGTGAATCAATATCCCAGAACCCCCTCCTCAGCAGCATTAGCAGCATCATTCTGGTCTCTCCTACACCAGGTGGACTGTAATAACCAGCTCATCACCACCTCCTGAAGTGTAACAGTTGCTGAGCACTAAATGTAGCCTCGCCATTGGCACACTCAAGATTGACT